AAGCAGTGGTATCAACGCAGAGTACTGATTGCTACGAGGGCGGTTGCGATGGCCAAACGATAATCAGATCAATTTGCCTCAGCATTCGACAACTGCACCGCTGATACGTTTGCACGACTATGACCAGACATCTGTGAGCGGATAATAAGTGATTGATCCTGGACGTTTTCTCCGTTCGAATTCATCTGCATACATTAACGAAACGCCAGTTCATACAATGCCATATATGCTCCATACATTATGCACATGATATAAGCATGCAAATGCAGGAACGACATCAAGGAAACAATAAACAAATGTTCAGCGTGTCACGCCTCTTCTTTGGAGCCAGTTCATGGTACTCCTCACTTCGGAAAACTGTAGATATATTTGTATTCATACGTATGATTTAGTCTGGTCTTTATTTTCGATCTCTTTCATAATTTGCCTAGCGCTTTGTAGATTGCATTTTAGACCATGTGGATGAAGGTTGTTATCTTTCTCTTGACTATCTCCTCCATTGGGTGTGCCCAAGAACTCATTACAGCTAAGGTAAGGACCACAAATCCAAAATTTGCGCGTCTATCGAAAATTAAGATTGGAGAAACTGTCAAACTCAATTATGGATCCAACGTCTATTTTTGGACGCGCAGGAGGACTTCGAAGGAAGACTTCGAGTTTATAGAATATTGCGGACCGGAAAAAGACTCCAGATGTAAATTCGTAAATGCGGTGGGATTTTGAGAAATCACTTAAATGAAAGAGAGTTCCTATTGAACCCTTCCGTTTTTTTTCCAAAAATGTCTGATTGAAGCAAGACAAACCAGTTCTCCCCGAATCAAAGGCTCATGTAGAAAAGGATGGCACCCTTGTTATTGAATCTATCAAGCCGACTGATGCCGGCTTTTATGCAGTTTTGAAGAAACACGGTGTGAGTCAATAATGCGAGAATATTTGAACTCTGATAACGGCTGTTTTTTTCAGTGGCGTCACGAGAACGGAATGAGACTTGGCAAGACTGCCAAGGAGTACATTCTCGAAGTCAAGAGCTGAACACTCACTCTTCACCTAAACTTGTGCGATATTCGATATAAATACTTCATATATTACGTTGTGCTTAAACGCTTAGATCTCCTAGATAATCGTAAAATATATATAAGTGGGAATAGACAAGTACAACTTGTTTCCCTTTATACTGGGAATTAAGAAAAATGTTTTATTGATGCTTACATGGAGGCACCGGTTACTCAAAATGGTCGACGAGATTTTGCTCAACATTAGCTGGGCCCCATTGCCCAACTCGTGCTGTCAAAGGCTGCTTCCGAAACGAGAAAATTGCAGCGAAAATCGCTTCGAATGATGGATTCGGCACATTGGCTCTCACCCTTTGAGTAGGCGTGACGTTTGTGCCGCCCGTCTCATCTAACCAATCACCGTTCCGAAGAGCTCTCACTGCGGGTTCTGCGGAGCGGGGATTGTCGAGGTTTTTGCGGATTCTCGACATGATATTTAAAATCAGGACATGAAAAAGCCCCGGGCGACAAAAACATGGATGAAGTTAAATGTATTTTCTATGAAGCACTAGCTGGCATACTCACGGCGATATTCCGATCTTCCTATAATAATAACGGGCTAAGGTGTTTACGTGACTTTAGCTTAAAGGCAGCGTCCCACCAGACTGGGGTACCTGCTCTCGTAATGATGTATTAGTAGATCCCCTACCTAAGCGATGCTGAAGTTCCGAGCGAAAAAGGCGGTCTACCAAGCCTGAAATTTGCTCCGAAAGTGGGTCGAATCTTACGGTAGGCTCGGGCAAGTGCGAGGTGCATGCAAGGTAGAGACGCAGAGTCGTTGCGGGTCCCTGCGCTCATGATGTGTGCGCATTACGCACTTTGGCCCTGCAAATCGATATTGCCGTGTGGGCGACGTTCGGCCCCTACCGTAAGATTCGGCCCACTTTCAAAGCAAAGCAGTTCACGACGACCAAATCGCGTGAACTCTGCCCGCGGCTTATGACCTAACCGTGAATATTTTATTTGCGAACTTACAATCAATCGAAATTAGGCTTGGTTAGACAGTGATTCTTGGAGGAAGTGTCAAGTGTCTTAGATCTAGTCATTCTTTTCTCTAGCCAATTTCTGAGAAGTAGGTTCTTGGAATCAGTGCTGTCTGGGATCCAGTTAAAACTTATTTGCCTTAACTTTCCAAGCTTTCCTTTCTTGTTTCTCACTTTCTAGCGAATTCACCTTACAATTCTGTGTTTCGTTCATGGTCATTTTTTCTGTGGTAGATTCTTTGAATCAATACTGTCTTGGTCGATATGTGCGCATGAGTACCCCCCTTCGCTAATGTGTTGACATTCAGATTTGGAATTATTCTAGTTAAAGGCAGTGGCTCGGCAAGTCCTCGACCTGAAGTTTGTTCGCATACCTGGGGTGATTCGACGCGCTGATTTCGAAAACACATCTTGAAGAGCGCACGAAATGTCGAAAACCAGCATTTTTCAAGGGTTCTCATATTGAATTAGGGCGAGTGGACCACTCGCCGCCATAGCAGAGTCGTTGCGGGACCCTCATGTCTATAACATTGCGGCATGCCGCCTCTGATGGTGGGAGGGGGACCGCAAGCTCGTCCGAGCGCGTGTAGGAGCTTCCAGACCACGCTGGTGGCCGCTTTTGCAGCCGGAGCGCATTGAGTCAGAATTCCTCCGTGTGGTGCGTAGAGCGGACATATTCGCAGTAGATAAGGTTTTGTACTCTTTTGATATGAAGCTACTAACTATGCTATGTGAAGGATATTCTGCAGGCCAAAATCCCTTTGTCCACTAAGGTTTTTAGCTATTTCACCGTACTGAAGTAAACAATAAAACGGATTCTATCATCTGGTTTTCGTAAATTGGCTGTTTCTCCTATGCTGAGTGTACAAAGGACGAGACCCAAGACGAAAAAGACAAAATGACTCTGCTTTCGGAATCGTTCACTCAGCATGGTAAAGTAGAACCAAAGGCAAGTACATCAGAATCTCGATCCACAACGACATGGCTCTCACAGCATAGTGAAAGAGCTTTAGACATAGATCATTTGTAAAATCATAACGACGTTGCTCGCGCTATCGTCACGATTATTTGAATGCCCTACCAAAGAAAGTACAAAAAACATCGTTCCGAAACGATATTGCTCAGCCAGCATAGCATTATGATTAGAATGAAATCTAGACGGTAGCACAGTGAAGTTCAAAAAACCTCGTTTTTAACGAAATCAACCAATTAACAAAAGAAGTAACTTAGAAGAAACTAGTAAGAAACTCTGTTTAACATAATTTGCTTATTTTAGCATGAACGAATACCTCCGCATTGGGAGAAGGAATCTCCTTCGGACAACTATCCAATCCCTCAGCATCGAAGAACAGCGAATGTGCGGAAGACGGATCAAAACCACATTGGCAACAGAACTGTTTACATACATAGAAGAAATTTGAACAGAAAAGCGGGAAAAATCAAAATCCCTGCGAATACCACTATTGTGAATAAGCCCCCTGTATGTGCTCCACGGGCAAGATTTGGTCCAGTGCGCTTCGGCTGCAAAGGCGGCAACCGGCGCGGTCTGGAGGCTTCCCAAGAGTGGCTTGCGCGCTATGCTGCCAGGCTTTTCTATGCAGGCACAGTATGTAGGGTTCTTTCATAATACACCGCGCACGCCGCTGCAGCGCAATGGAAATATGCTCATGGCAGCAGAGCTCCACTTTTTTTGATGTATCCCTATAGTTGCTGCACATTCGTGTCCCTCAATAATGTTCCTTCACATTATGCATTTCTTCCTCTCTTTTGCTTTGTTTATCCTGTCTATCCCTTGTCTATATCAATGATTGGTGGAATGACTTAGGCTGTAGTGCTCCCTCTACTTTTGAGTTTCACATTTTGTATCATAACTAACTGCACATTGCATTGCATCATTTGGTAGTATATTGGTAGTATAGGTTGTATGGTTGCATGTTGTATCTGGTTGTATATTTGCGCTGTTAACATCTCCTTACAAACACATCACTGGATGAAAAGGGTTAATCTTCTTCATACTGTTAGACTGCAATTGCAAATTTGATGCGCCGTTGTTGCTGCAGTTTGTTTTCTTCGCTTACAAAAACCATTCAAGTTTCGGCTCTGACTTCACAGTTCACAATGTTAACGTATCTGGGGTCAAAGCTGTACAGAAATAAATGATGAAATGACGTTCGTAATAATCAGATTATAGAGATACATCAAAAAAGTGGAGCTCTGCTGCCACGAGCATATTTCCATAGCGCTGCAGCGGCGTACGCGGCGTACGCGGCGTGCGCGGCATACGTGGCGAAGGAACCCGTAATGCGCTCGGACCTGCTCTGTTCTGATATCTGGGACGCAAGCAACCTTCCATATAAAAATTTCGAGATATTTGGTTTTGCCTAGCCACTGCCTTCATCCACCAGCTTGGCCGGAATGTATGGTACACCAACAAGAAAACAGTTCTATACGAAGGAGCGACAATGTGTTGGGTAAGTTCACAACACATGATGCCTAATCATGTTTTGTAGATTTTCAGCAAAAAATGGGTAATCGCAGAGGATGAGGAAAATGAAGTATTCAAGGCCACGCAGGTATACAAAACGACGGAGCCGAAAAGGACGCAATATTATACGATCATGTCGTAAGTGAATCTGCAGTAACGTAAGTTTATTTGCTTTTCGTTTCCTTACATTGCTTGTCTTACTTGATTTTTTGGGGCATACTTTTCACTTCTTATTTAACTTTCACTTATTACAAGTTTGCAACGAAGGCGTATTTTTAAGAAGAAACGGGTCTCTTGGTAGAAGAGAAAGACGCCAATGTCGTTTAAGAAACTGGAAACGGCTAGTGTTCCAGCATTTCGTTGGTCTTATCATGCTATGAACAGATGTTATGCTTATGCTATGCTGTTATAAAAATGTGCAAGTGGGTTGTTTATTGTAGAAAAGAGTGTTCTTTTTCTTCGCCTCTAGGACTTGTGTTTCTACTCGCTCGCTTGCCAAGCGGGACTATAATCTGTGGTTGGAAACGGGCTCACAAATAGGTTTATTGTTCAAATCCTCACATACAGTCTTCTGTCTTCTTGCTCACACTTCGGAAGTTCTTCTTCTTCTGCGAGAGACTTGAACTTGAACTTGAGGTCCTTACGGAACTTGTCACTTGATAAAGCATGATCTTACGGCAGTGTGGGCTCTATTTATACAATTTATACAGATAAAAGTTGAATCTCAAATTATATCTCAAGCGAAAAGAAACATAGATGATATGATAAACGTTAAAAAAGCAAAATGCATACTTAAGAACTGAACGATTACAAAGAACACAAATCAATACAAATACATGAACAAATACTTGATACATTGGTTAAACAATCGACAAATATATCCAAATTACATACACTGATTATGGATCACTTGATCGTCATTGACGACACCCGGCGCAACTAGTGTTTCGTCCTGCGGCCATCCTTCAGTGCTCTTTTGGCGTCAAGAATTCTTCGATTCGCTCGTGCCTTCATGTCGGGACGTCACAAAGAGCGCAATGGTGTCCGCTGCCACGTGGATGAATTTTCGAAAATAGATCCCTTTAGGCGCCTGCAGTACCAGCATTCTCTTCTTGCGTAGAGGCACTCTTCTTGTGGAGGGCAGTTTTCTGAGCAGAATCGGCAAAGTTCTTTCCGTCGAATAATCTCCCATCTTTCGTCCCCTCCACATATCTGGGGCAGGAATCAGAGAACTGATTTGTTTTAGCGCAGAAGGCGCACTTCATTCCTTCAACGCCAAGGTTTACTTGTCCAATTTTCCGATGAGGGAAATCCTGCAAGACTCTCTAATTTCGATGATGTCCCTTTCAATCCTGTCCTCCCAGGCTTTCGAAGTTTCTGTTCTGTCGGTCCTTTGGGTCTTAGCCGCAGGTTCCTGAGACAGCCTGTGACGTTCTTTCTCTCGTTGTCTTTCCTCACTTAAAACTTTTCCTCTGGTTTTTCGGTCCTTTGGGAGTTTCAATCTCAGCGAGTGCTCTATGAATGAGATTTCTGCTCCTGTATCTAGCAGCACTGCAAACTTTCTCAGGGAGTTGCTTTTCGGTCGAGAACTGTTAACTTGCCTGTAGGAAGAAATGTTTCTTCCAGAGATTGAGGCGTCGAATGACTTGAAGTATAGCGATCTCTCTTGTGTCCGCTTCCTCAGAGGTCACATGGTTCACTCGTTGAGTTCTTGCTCTTTTTGTTCTTCTTTCAACCGCTTCTTATACAAAGCCTTTTCTTGCTGACTTGTTGCGTTATTAATTAGCTTAAAGCAGCATGATGTGTGGTGTGCACCCTGACCCTTGAAACAATAACGTTTTTTACATTGTGAAGTTTGGTGTTGTGCTGACGCGCAGATGAGACAAAGCCCGCGCTTTCGCAGATATCTTGATCTTTCTTGTGGGGTTCTGTACTTGTTGCAGTCAATAGCTTTATGGTCTTCACCACAATACATGCATCTGCTTTGCCGTTTTGAGAGATCCTTTCTGATGAAGAGTGATCTAGAGCTAGCGCTCTGCTCTTTTCCGGTTCTCTCCATATAGAGTGACATCAACTCTTCGTTTGAAATTCTCTCTTCCAAGAACTTTAACAGTCTGTTCATAGAAAATCAATCTTCTGTCAAGGTCGTGCTCCTTTTCAGAAGTACTTTTTTCTGAACAGACGCCGGAAATTTGGAGAGTTTTGTAGAGGCCGGGGATCTGCTGCGAGTGGACATTGGTGTTGAGGAGTTCCCAAATTTGTCCCATTCCCATATATTCCCTCGGAATATTGGAATGGGCAATGCTGGGAGCTCGCTTCCCAACCTCGGTTGTACCTGAGGAGTAGTTCCTTCTGCAGCTTCCGGTGTCGTGCTACTTGCTTCCCCTGCACGAGACGTGCATACCGTGTATGTCTGCGTGACTGTAAGAGTACTAAATAGTCAAATGCGGCGGCCAGAACTTTCTCCGCTTTTGCGCAATACTCCTCGAAGCTGCTTATTTCTTGTTCATCTAAGCCCTGCAAGCTTAAGACGTCTGTAGCGCAGTCCATCAAGAATTTCTCAAATTTCTCCGAAAATGCTGTGATTGCCCCTATTCCATCGTTGAGTTGTTGTAAGCTTTCCCTAAGTACCTAGCCTTCTTATGGAGTAGCCGTGAGCGTTTCCAACCTTTCATTCTTGAGATGTGTGATGATCGATTCCAATTTCTTCGTGTATCGTGTCAGTAAGCGCTTAGATGTACTTAGTCGCATCGCCATTTTCTTGATAACGGTTCAAAAACTGCAACCGAAAATTGCTGCGGTATCAAAAGAGTAGTCAATATGTCGTACTGCGAAATCGTTAGGCCCCGGTCAGACTTCACGCGACTTAATCGTCGCGACCAAATCGCCAAGATTTCCATTCATTTTCATTTCACATTCAAAAATTTCGGTCTGGAAAAGTATCACAACCGAATGCAAGTTGATCTGTATGGAATGATGTTGTAACAGTTGTCTCCTCGCGATTCAGTCGCGACGATCAAATCGCGTGAAGTCTGCCCGGGGCCTTAGACTAACCTGAGTTCTTCGTCTGCTCGATGCACCATGTAGAAAAGGGGGTTCTTTTTCTTCGCCTACTCTAGGACTTGTGTTTCTACTCGCTCGCTTGCCAAGCGGGACTATAATCTGTGGTTGGAAACGGGCTCACAAATAGGTTTATTGTTCAAATCCTCACATACAGTCTTCTGTCTTCTTGCTCACACTTCGGAAGTTCTTCTTCTTCTGCGAGAGACTTGAATTTGAACTTGAACTTGAGGTCCTTACGGAATTTGTCACTTGATGAAGCATGATCTTACGGCGGTGTGAGCTCTACTTATACAGAAAAATATCAGATAAAAGTTGAATCTCAAAATATATTTCAAGCGAAAAGAAACATAGATGATATGATAGACGTTATATAGCAAAACAACGCAGATTACAGAGAACACAAATCAATTCAAATACATGAACAAATACTTGATACATTGGTTAAACAATCGACAATTATGTTTAAATTACATACATTGATTATGGATCACTTGGCCGTCATTGGCGACATTTATGCTTGATTAAGATAATTTTTAAAAATTTAATTAAAATTAGAAAAATTTTTGGCCCTATAAAGAAATTTTTCTCGGAACGTGGCTGACGCCACGCTCCTCTTTTCTGGAATTTTGGGGTTATAGGCCCGCGAAAATTTTAGAAAACATGCTAAAAAAATTTTCGGAGTGCGTCTCCCTCCCCCCCCGCGAACGGAAATTCTGGGTACTCCACTGGTCACTTTTTCTGCTTGCTATTTGCTTTACCTTTAAAGGTGTTCAGGGTGGAACAGCTCAACGAACCAGCGGATAGCTAGGGTGGCTAGGAAAACTAAGCACATTTTCCCGCGCCAGGCACAGTCATTGTGAGCATCACCAACGCATGTAACGTTTGGAAAATCAATGCTTCACCTTTCTTCTTGAATATAAGCTTAGGCTCAGCACCTAGGAAGTGGAACCCAAGAAAAAGAGATGGGACGTTTCAGATTCCTCATTTGTACCGATTTTTGCTAACCAGGTAAACCTTCATGGATTAACCCGAGCAGGTAGAAGACGCTTTGATGGGTATGCTAAATTCTGCTTCATTCTACGGATTCTCTTATTTCAGATTCAGAATCGATGTTCTCGGCCTTGGGCTCAGAGAGCTAGAGAAGAGCGCATTTTTAGGATTCGCCATTCTACGTGGGATTGGGGGCCACCGAATCGGAGAGGAAGGAAGCCTCAAATAAACTTCAACGGCAAAAGGCGGAGTGGAGGGACTACATGTACAATGTCCTCCAAAAAATATTGTAAACTTACATATGAAAATGTAAGATTCCTCCTGCAATAAAGCTTTGTTCCAGAGGCACATTCGCTCTTTAGCTTTGATCAGTGAACGGGATGGGCTACTGGACTTGGTTTCCATTGGCCCAGTGAGTTTGTTTGAAGTTATAAATATACTGTGTGCGTTGGGTGCAGAAGCAGGCTAAAAGAACTGAAGTAGAATGCACGCAGGGGTCTGTCATGGATAGCGAAAGCAATTTTATCAGTTCGTACTAGTTCCTGGGCAACTGGACGATGTGGGGTTGAAGACCAACTTTTGTATACAGCGCTGGCCAAAACTATAACCACCCTGGAAACTAGCTCATCTGCCTGAACGAATTGATCTGAAATTTGGTACAGTTGTGTGTTTAACAGGCTACCATCAGTAACCAGAACGGATTCCGCTTTCATTTGGTTATTTTCAGGAAAAAATTTGAAATTTTCGAAAAAGCAAGCTTGAAGGCTGGGCAAAACTATAGGTCCTATTAAAGTTTCTGTCCACTAAAGTAATTACTGGCTCCCATTGCGTTGATGAACATAATCAAAAGTCAAAACAATCGCTTTAGTCTAGCTGTGTCCTTCATAGGAAACGCTTATGTGCCTTTTTCATTTTGGGCAAAATGCATGAGGACGTGTTTTTGTGGGCTTGTAACTCGGAGAATTCTATGTACTAGAGCCCGACTCATGCACCATTCGATAGCACAGTTCCTAGTAACTTTGAATTAGAAAAGCAAGCAGGCAAGTTTTCTGACAGGTATGCGAGAAGCGCAGGCGAAGTTACGAGCTTTTGTGACTCCGTTACAGTTACCTATCCATATCTCTTCAAAAAGACTCTATACTTGACAGAGAACACGTTTTTGATAAACAATGTGTTCGAAAACCTCTATGAGCGGGGTTTTTTTCAAAACAAGATCATCGACATTTCGACCAAAACCCACTGGCGAGCTTCAGAGCGTGAAACGAGAAAAAATCAAGTGACCCGAATCTCTGAAAACTTGCTCATATAAGGGTTACCGACCTGCTGATTGCAAAACTCACACCTGCTTAGCTATACTTGGGTAATTCGAAAATTTTTCATCGAATGAATGAATATCGAATAAATTCGAAAATGAAAAATTTTGAATGAACGAATATCGAATAAATTCGAAAATGAAAAATTTCGAATGAACGAATATCGAATAAAATCGAAAATGAAAAAAAACCCGAATGAATGAATTTCGAATAAATTCGGAAAATCAAAAATATCGAATGAATGAATATCGAATATATTCGAACATTGGGAGTCGAATTTCGAATAGATATTCGAATGATTTTTCGAATAATTACTGCAACATATCTAAAACTTGCTGACATTTCTGGCTAGAACCGATTCATTCATACAGCACCCTCATATCCCCTACACCAACTCCTAGCTCAAGCTTTTCCAGAAATCGGTGAAATCGATAAACAAAAATTTTGTTTATATCAGCACTCTCACTTACCCCCCTGTACCAAGTCCCAGCTCCGTAGCTCAAAGTTCCCCAGAAATCGATAAAATCGATAAACAAAAATTTTATTCATAATCAGCACCCTCACTTACCCCCCTGTACCAACTCCCAGCCCCGTAGCTCAAAGTTCCCCAAAAATCGATAAAATCGATAAACAAAAATTTTATTCATAATCAGCACCCTCACTTACCCCCCTGTACCAACTTCCAGCCCCGTAGCTTCCTTCAAATCGATAAAATTAGTCGGTTGGCAACTAGTCTATGCATCAGCAAAACGTCATATTTTATTCCCCATTATTGAGCGATAAGAGAAGCAGACGATATAAATTTTATGTTGTGCCCAGAAAACTCTTCTTCAGATGGTTTGAAAGAGATTGATGTACACAAGGAATAACTTTATTTCTTGTCAGAATCAACAATGTAAAAGCAAAGTTGTTGATCTATTGCTACATAATTTGCTACATACTCACGTCGAACATCGCGTCACTGTTCATTCTGATGAGCCCATCGACCACGATGCGGTAGTTTTTCACAGTCTAATAGATTTGGCGATGAATATGATTGTCTCTGCGGTGGCCACAACACTTGCACGTATAGAAACGTCGTGTCTATGGACTTGCAAGACACAAGCTAGTTGCCAGCAGAGAGGAGAGGCTTGCAAGATACAAGCGAGTTGCCAGCAGAGTGGACAGGCAATTTGCTTGCGACTTGCAACTTCATAGACATGACGATTCTATACGTGCAAGTGTTGTGGTACTGCAGAGACACCATATTTATCGCCAAATCTATTAAAGTGTGAAAACCTACCGCATCGTGGGCTCATCGGAATGAACAGTGACGTGATGTTCGACGTGAGCCTCGATGATAACTTCACGCTCAGTCTTATAGGTGTAAGTTTCAATCGTTCGATTCCAAAAGTGGGAGTTTTGCGAGAAATTTGCTGTTGTATATGCGCCAACCTTATTTGCAGCGCAGATTCTTCTCTGTCTAGCTTTCTGTTTTTCTAAAATGAAAATACTGATTACGGTAAAAATTTTTAGGAGTTAACTCCCCCAATTATGGAAGCGACGCAAATGAATCCTGGCACATGACTGTGAAGATAGGAATAGAAGAGCCTACGGCCTGAACAACAGGCGCAGAACTCATCCCGTTCATGAGCCCAAACTTCATTACCCGAATACGGCTGCGATCACATAATATAGGACTATTTTGAGGCTTTTTCGATATCCCTACGTTGCAGTCATCCATTCCTTCACTCGCGATTTTAGCGATCCCCACCCAACATATATTCCGGTGTTGTATTTTTTTTACTAGACGAATACTACACAGTTTTTTCTTCATGCACCTCTCGCGATTCAAACGACTACGAAGAAGCTTTTCGTATGTTTTTGTGTAACTAGTATGTGTGATGATCTGGCGACTGTTTTGCCTTAGAAGACTGACTGATCGCTGTTAATGTCACTTGCTTTTTAGCGAGAAGCTACGCGTAGTTGTTCTCAATCGCGCATGCTGTTTTTGTCCGCGTCCAGAATCCTTCTCAGATTTTTCCATATTCTCTTCTTTCGTCTATATAATTTCACCGATCCCGAGTATCTCTATATAGCCTTTTCACTCTGCTACCTTTTTGTTGTATCCACTGTAACTATACACACCTTTCCGCATATGGAGGCTGGCTTGGCTACGGTCATACAGATGAAATGATATTGCCTCTACAAGCCAACGCTAAGCAGCTATCCTGATAACGAAGCATATTCTCTTTCTTATGTTTATCCAGACTCTTTGCTTTGTAGTGCTTTTTTCTAATTAAATCAATGAAGTTCACTTTGATCTACTTCGACGTTCAGAAAGATTCGAGACTGAATTAGAGATTAGTTTCTTAGAAGGCCTCTTCAGAGGCATGTTAGATTCATAGCAAAATTAAGGTTAGTAGCCAGCTGTCTGGATTCTTTCAAATGAACAAATGGGATTTCATGGGAAATCAGTACAAGTTGTTTTCGAGAATAGATTAAAAATTAGTACAAAAAATAATCATCAGCGATTTCCACTGATCTATAGGTATTCAGTAGTAACATGCAGTGCATCTTCGTGATCCTTGCGCGTTATGCACCGTAGGGTAACCGCATTTGTGCACCTTGATCCTGCCGCTTTGTTCGACAGCAGACCTCACTTGTCAGGCGTCCACTAAAATTCAAGGGCAGTTTAGCAGAGTAGCAGCAAATGAGATTGGCTGGAGCTGAAACTGAAATTTAAAAATGAGGCTGGCACACGCTATACATCTGTGGTGAGCTGGCGTTACATCTGAAGACATCTGTAACTCATTGATCGGAAAAGCATCAATTAAAATCCACATTTATGTTTTTTAATGTCGCAAGCAGTCGGAAGAATGCGACTTTCCATACAGTTCAAAGGTCGTTACGGTTGCAAAAAAAGATGCATTACCTGGTCTTGTAAAAGAAAACGAAAACGAAGCGAGCTTGGTATTCACAGTTGTCTCTGCAACAAACTCGAATGATTTGGATACGGAGTTCATTCGAATACGAATTCGAATAAACATTCGAGTAAAACATTCGAATAAAATCTATTCGAAAACCCGTTTTTCGATTATTCGAGTTTTCGAATATTATTCGAATCCTCGTTTTTTGATTATTCGAGTTTCGAATTTTATTCGAAACCCCGTCAACTCAATTATTCGAGTTTCGAATATTATTCGAAAATGGAAAAACTCCGAATATCGAATTTTCGAATCGAATATATTCGAATGTTTTATTCGAATGATCGAATTTCTATTCGATTCGGACCCAAGTATATGCTTAGCAAGATAGCTTCGTATTCTAGAGTTACAACGAGTAGAACTTGGGACGACAAGATTTTTTTCACAATTTGCCAGCCCTTCTATCTCCATTGGAAAGACGCCTGTGACTACTTTTTGGCTCTCCATAATCTACAGGATAAGTGCTATCGAACGGTCCTTGCTAGAGTGTATTAGGGGCAAAGCGCGCTGCCTTACACCTTTGCGAAAAGGAAAAGACGTCCACAGAAAGATTTGAGAATGCTGAAATCGGGATATCAAGTAGCTGTATATTGAAAGATTTGCCTCGATGAACTGAGCACAAAGCTTTCTTCGGATTCGGAGTATATTCATTCCGAAGGAAGTTACGGCGAGTAGAACTTAGAAACGCGTGATTTTTCCAAAATTCACCAAAGCTTCTACCTCCTTTTGAAAGACAGTCTGCAGCTACTTTCAAACGCACGATAACCTACAAGAACAGTACTATCGAACAGCGCTTGGAATTTTTCATGTTACACAGACGCTGCGGTTACATCCTTGCGAAAGGATCTCCACAGAAAAAACTCGCGAAAACTGAAAACGAAATATCGAGGGCATGTTGTAAATCAAAGTATTTCCCTCGACGATCTGAACACAATGCTGTTTTCGGATTTAGAATATATCTGATTTGAAGGAAGTTATAGCGTTGCGTATTCTATGTAATTCCCATGATTCCGCGGGTCCTGGATGTTGCGAACTTCCCGGAATATCGTGGATTTTGGCGGTAATCCCGGAATTCCACGAAATTCACCAAAGTTTTGCTTTTGCTGCTTTTGAAGTTCATTCTGTGAGCGGTATTGTAATCCTGAGCAGATTTTAGAACAAATTTGACTAGTTGACTCCCTACCATATTCCTACAGTATACTTTCTATGTGTCATCAGCGACAAATCAATGACAATACTGTTGTCAACACACTGAACAATTTAACCAACAAAGATCTGAAAAACTGAGCGAAAACTTACTGTCTTGCGTATATCTATTATATCTAGACTGTAGCATTCCTATACACTGGATGATTTTCGCTGAGCTGAATCGAACGGTGTCCTCGGATTCAGAGTTCATCCATTCTGAAGCGAGATACGGCGATGCGACGGACTCAGACAGACTCTAGTGATGTGCGGCGCACTCCGCTGCTCTCCGGCGGACTCTAATGTGTGGCGCACTTTGCCGCACTCCGGCGCACTGCAGCGCACTCCGGGGGAGTGCTCCGCAGTCAGGCGACTTTTTTGACGAATTATGAGCGGTATTGTATCTTAGAACCTTTCCTTTCGAGACTATATTTCATAAAATTGACGGGAACATGCTACTTCCAAACCTTATGCGGTTCGTATCCCCAGTTGGTACTGTCAGAATTGTCCGCGAATGCTCCATCAGGAATGAAACCAAAAGAGATGCCCACGTCTTCGCTGAGCATGCAAGCAGCTCCGAGGGCGCACTGAATTGTTGAAGAGGGAAAAGGGCGGTAGCCTGAAAAAAAAACGGACTTGGGCCTTCTGAACCTGATGGGAATCTTGAGAGGTCACACCGGCGCTATCCAGCTCGTTACGTCGTCTGGAAACCCTGGATCGATGCAGGCTGGTCCTAACGCAAAAATGTGGGTATTGCATGGATCATCGCGAGCTGTCCGACCTTCGCAACGAAGATCTCCGAGATTCCACGAAGAGTCTGCACCACATTATGTATTTTTTAACCATTCTGAGTTATTTATCAAGAGTGGTACAGTCGATGTCAATTACGTACTCCCTTTCGCATGGGATGTACGCATGCGCAACGCAAATGCCCTGCGCGCGTACCTCCAATCGATGAGGCCCGTTTGGATGCCTGAGCCGTACGCGCGCGAGCGTGGCGCGAAGCTCATGCGCTTACGGGAAAGAGGGCTCGTAATTAACACGAACTTTAGTGAACAAAATAGTGCAACCTTATAGCTTTGGTGATCGCCTTCATGGATAGCTCCAGCCAACATCGGTGGAAAAGCTTTAGGGCGCGTGCTTCTCCGTGTGCCAGAGATGTGCCAAGTCGTGCAGTACACTAACATGCCCACTTGCTGATCGATCGTCCTGCCATGGCGCTGAAACGGCGCTAGAAAATGGCGCTGGCATGGCAATGACATGAGCAACTTCGAACGCAACCATATGGCAGCACTATCTTTCATCAGAGGAAGTCAGGAATATTCAATTTTACAAAAAGGAAATACATTATGGCCACTCACTCAAACATTTTGGTTGCTCGAAAGACCATTGTCTATTCATCTGACTAGCAATGTGGCAGTGCCTTCGCGCCAATCCCTGATGACAGTCGAAGCGGAATACGGTGCCGTAACCAGTACCGTCACCAAACTCAAGACGAGGATCACCATTCGCAGATGGCGTCAGCGCTGGGCACATGGCAGCTAAATTTTCAAAATCACCTCGGCGAAAGGCATTCGAAAGGTGTTGACATACATTTACAGCTCGGAGCATGACTCCAATTGCCATTGATGTTGCAACGAATCTCCTCCTTGGCATTACCGCTGGCAAAAGAAAATCCTTCATAGCACAAGTATCTAGCTATGCCGCCAAACGAGACATTCGTGGCAGATTCGGCAAAAATCATTGGCAATTTAGGGGACAGAGAACAATAGACGGTTGAAAAGAATTGCTTCAGTGTTTCAGCATTTGAGAAAGAAACTGGAGAAATTAGTTAGCTAACGTTGACTCCAAATAAGGCTTTCTTTACTTGTCATCCCAGTGAACAGCTTATATCGAAATTCTACCGCGTCCAATGCGATTTCCAATCCAGGTGGACAAAATACTATTACCTAAAAACACAATATTTATGCGATGATTAAGGAGTTTGGTCGAAAACAGACCACGATTCTCTTTGTTCTCTTCGATAGAATCGAATATACTCCTCGTAAGAAAATAAGCACCTCCCCTTGCGCGCCTTTTTCTCATTCGCGTTTCTCGCGATGGTTTATTCCCGAGATTCACTAAGCACTTACCTTAGTGCCATAAGTGGTCGTTTTTGTAGAAAGGGTCCAGAGGTGGAGTTTTCAATGCAGAACAATTTGAAAAGAAAAGCTTATAACGGATAAACGAGTATATTTTACTATCTATCATAAACGAAAGAACTTTTGCAGTAGAGTAAGAGCTAAAAGTTTTTACAAACCCTAGCTGCTCAAAACACCAGCTAACCCTCTTTTCCTGTGAAAACTTACTAAAAGAAAAATTCGCATAAAAACCATGGCATTTCGTACAGCATTCGTTTTCAGCATCAATTCATCGTTCAAAATTTTCAGCTAGAACTTCACAAAATTATAGAAAAGAAAACCCTAGAGATCAAACAATGTGGGCGATATAAAAAGATATGAGAAACTCGACGCGAATAGAGGCTTGACACTCGAAAAAACGTGAGAAATGAGTAGACAGCGTCACTTAGCGTTGACGCCAACACGGTCACTCGCTGTGCACCAGTCCGGATTCCTGGCGCACAGGACCATTCCACATCGTGTATTATACGATGTTGCGCACGGATTGATACATCGCGTGCGCCTCGGCAGACCATGTGCTGGTTCCAGACCGTGTAATTGCCAGATCTCGAAGCAGCACACGATCCTGCGATCGATACATAACACCCCTGGTCCAAACACCAGGTATGTTGCAACAGATAATTTTGCTAGACAGAATGCCACAGCATAATGGGGGTCAGCGTTCCATTCCGAACGCTGAATGACCTAATATCATTTAGCAGCTGATAGAAAATGGGCATATTGCCATTCTTGGGTTTCCCCAAGAGCAGCTCGGGTTACCAAAGATCACTAGAAACATGTGTTATGTGGGGTATCGGCGAACACACTGATAGGTTCGAAAGTCACTCAGTGGAACGCAACATTACTACTGCCTTTGGCTTAGGTATAAGCATGGGGTCCAAACAAAACCGATAATCAGCGGTTTCCGTGATATCAAACTAGCTGAAGAAGGTAAAAAATTTCTTCAATTTTTCAAAATCGAAAAGCTATGATTAGCAAACTTAAAAGTTCATGAAGAGTGCATCTTTCCACTCGTTCGTTGAACTGCTATTATGACCACGTCGTAACGATAGATCGCTCTTCGAACACTACCAGAACTGCATGTTGCAAAAATAGTTTTTGATCCAACTTTGTTGGACGTGGCATTATTGACAGCTCACATATGAACATCAGTGGCAGACCGAAGGGAAGTGACTTGTTTATTTTCGTAAACAATTGAAATAATTCTTAAAATTTTTTTGAAAATTCAAATTGGCCTTGTAAATTTTTTCGGGAGCGTGGCTGAAGCCACGTCCCCTTTTTCCAGATTTTAGGGGTTGGGAACCCGCAAAAATTTCGAGATGCACTCCAGAAATTTTTCGGAGTGGCATGTCTATAAGTTACAACTACATTCTGCTCAAAAGAATGTTCTAGATGGTTTGGGAATAGCTGATTTGAGTCACAGAAAGATAAAGCCTATAAGAGATACTTCGAGCAGTAAAAAAATCGATATGATTCGAAAACGGTCTTGTTACTGCTGCATTTCCTCTAGAGGCCAGTATCGTTTACATTAGGAGTTATTCGGTATCAATCGAACGATTGTCTGCTCTCCAAAACCAGCTAAGAGCAAACAGAGAACAATATGAGTGGTAAAAAACCATAACCAATTATGAGAGCCAATGGTTAAATTACAGACTATAGCCTAAAGAAAGATGCTGTCGGCACATTTTACATCTTAGTGTCTGACCTACTGAGAAGGCTCCACTCAAAATAGTATTTGTAAAATAGTAAAATAGTATTAGGTTGTCCGGAAATTAATGCAGGTATTAAATTCCAACCGCAATAAGTCATACACTTCTCATTTCTAAGTAGGTTGCAAGGCATCGTTCGATAGAGCAAAACAAGCTCTACCAGATGGCTATGTTGCTTCGGCAATAGCTCTGATCCACAACGAGTTTCGCGCCAAAAACTAAAAACATTCATGTGTCCGAAAAATTGAGAAAAATCGTAACTCAGTTCATAAAAATCCTGTAAAAATTCTAACTTGTTCACGTAAACATAATCCACACAGTGCATCTATATACGCCGTTGCCGTATTTTTTTCTCTGTTGAAAATCAAGAAAACGGAGATTTTCGTGCATTTGCCAAAGTGGTGCTGTACCGTTCCCACATAAATAATTGTATTCTACAAGCCTTTACAAGCACAAACATAATTTTCCAGCTCTCCACAAGCTTTATATATCGAAGAGATATATCGAATACAGTTTTCCCTAGTCATGTGGTCCAAGGTAAAATTCAAATTTCTCGAAAACAAAGCTTGTAGAGAGCTGGAAATTTATGTTTGTACTTGTACAGGCTTGTAGAATACAATCACTTATGTGGGATCGGCACAGCATCACTTTGGCAAATGCACGAAAATCTCCGTTTTCTTGATTTTTAACAGAGAAAAAAATACGGCAACGGCGTATATAGATGCACTATGTGGATTATGTTTACGTGAGCAAGTTAGAATTTTTATAGGATTTTTATGAACAGAGTTACGATTTTTCTCAATTTTTCGGACACTTGAATGTTTTTAGTTTTTGGCGCGAAACTCGTTGTGGATCAGAGCTATTGCTGAAGCAACATAGCCATCTGGTAGAGCTTGTTTTGCTCTATCGAACGGTGCCTTGCAACCAACTTAGAAATGAGAAGTGTATGACTTATTGCGGTTAGAATTCAATACCTGCATTAATTTCCGGACAACCTAATATTTGCCTCAAAATAGTATTTGACGCTTCGTCAATAATTATGGAACAAATATCTCTTAACGACACTTTATTGGCGAAATTTTCAATGACAAAGCTTATGATTACATGTCGTACTAGCACCATACTGTTCTGATGCTGGGGCCGCCTTCAAACAAATTCGTCTGCTTAGAGAGTAGCAGCTTCACACTGTTATCTTTCATAATGCATATACTATTTTATGCCGAATCCTCTAGAAATCATCAAACAGCCTTTGAGCTTTTATTTATATGGGATGAGTTTCGGTGTCTGTGTACGTTTGTGTTAAATGGCTACTTGCTATAGGACCGGAATTCAGATAGATCATTTGTTTCTGCAGCATCAATTCGGTAAGCACAATGTTCAACTTCATTACACTTTCAATCTGTTTGAAACTATCCTATTGTGCTAATCTTCGTTGTGTCCTGCAGCCTTGTTTCCCACATACCCTATACCGCAAGCTTCTTCAAATTGTATTACTTCTGTTTCTCACTCAAGTGGGGATTAAGTGACTTTTTTTTCAAAGGAAAGAAACACGCCCTAATTCGCACATTAAGGTCTTTCTGACATGTTCGCTGTGGGACGACTGTATGGACTTTGACGCGGAAGGGCGGCGACTTGCAAAATAGACGTATGCTGGCCCCGCACAAAATGTATAACATAACAAAACCAATAATTAGAGGTGAGTGAGTGCTCAACCTGTACTCGGTCTTTTAGTGGCAGAAGTGATGATGCCAAGAGCGTATTCAGCCTCATGGTTCAACAGGCGCCACAAAGGCAAGATTCGATTAAGGGTCATGGTAAAATTGTGCTCTACAAAAAGACATATCAACTGTATGTGGCAAATAATGCAACAGATATTAGGAAATTGGGGTGGTGCCAGGTATATTGGTAAAATACGAGGAAAAACAAATGCGAAAGGAGATAGCTTAAATTTGAAGAAATGAATACTAGGAATCCTGAGTCCTTGTGTCGCTGTGTTCAGTTAGAGTAGATGGGGTTGTAAAGTTGAATATCGTGGGAGATATCGAGCAGAAGAGCGACGACGGGTGACATTTCTAATCTTAATCAGCGTGAAGAGACTGTGCACCTGATGAAGCAAAGCTAAAGCAGATATTACTCAATCTTCGACTAAGGAATGCCAGTACGTTGTGCGTACCTTTCATTAATAAGTTTAAGTGTGCGTATTGACACGTTTTGTTAACTTACTACTGGGAAATCATAGAGGAACATGTTCGAACTCGCGTTGTTTGACAAGATCGAAGTTTTACAAGAACCTAATAGTAAATCAACCAAATTGCGTTAGAACTCACATATGAACTCATTGATCAAACGTTTTGGGGACGAGTGGCGTAGTGGTATGAGGCGCCACTATGACCAGATCGGACACAGGTTCGATCCGCCCCTGGGCCAACCAAGCCCTCTACCCTTCGGGGACGGTAAATTGGTACCAGAGTAATCTGGGAGGATAAAAGCACTGACTTGGTAAACGGCTGGCCTCCGCAAGTCACTATGATAGGCTCGCATGCACACAATTGTCACTTCGACTATGAAGTAGTGTGCGTTCGGTGCATTCCCACAGAGGGTATTAAAGACACCGAATCCTTTATACTTTATCCTTTTTAATCAAACGTACGCAAAGCGTACTCGCGTCTCACAGTCAGAGGGATGATGTAGTTTATTTTCTTTGAGTCTGCCTGGCGCATTGCATGAGCGCTATGGCCACCTTCAGCATCACACTCAGTAGGTAATTACACCAAAAACGTTTCTATCATCGTGAGGATAATCTGGTCCAAATAGGTAGTGAGGCGCCTACTGCTGCAAGTGCGCAACGAGGGCGCCAGCAGTTGTAATCAATTACTACTGTCATCTGCTACAGTACGCGACGAGTAATCTGGGCAGTTGCAGCTTGAACCACCTGTGTTGCAGTCGCAAAAATTTGTTAACGCAAATTTGAAGTTTTTCATTGCTTGAATCCATTTCACAGACTCGAGTATTTGTTCCTAGAAGGGGGACAGGCGTTATGCGACGAAGCAAACTACATGGCTGACATTAAGAGGGACGCAACGCAAATAGCCCTCAGGATATACGCAGGGAATGCGGCGTAGATTTGCTCCATAACGCCGCGCCACCTATACGAACTCTTCGCGTTCAAATCTATTCTGCCGCGCTCAAAGAACGGATGCCTGGCGCGGCCGATCAGCTGTGGTTCTCACGGCTTATGTTTATGCTTAGGCATCAGTAGGCTGATCGGTAGATTCTTGGGCATTTTGGTATTTGTTTACGTTCGCGTATGCAGTTGGAGATTATAAGTTAGCCACCACCTTTGCCAGTTGCTTTATCCCCTTCTTGCAATGGTTTGGTTTCTTTTCATTTACCATATGTTGCTTTGCCTTTTCGTATTATTGCCTTACAGTGCACAGGCTAGACTTTGTTATTCACAGAAGATTTAGTCTGGTATTTCATCATAGTATTTTGTAGTCATAGCCGCTCGTGAAGATCGTTAGTATTACCACAACAAAGTTTGATTACCTAAGTTTGAGGTGTCGCAGTCTACGGGTGTATGTCGAAAGGCGCGCGTTCCCTAAGCCTTCATTTCCAGACTAGGTCAGTTCTTTGCAAAAGCAAGGTCTCCAGATTGCGAGATTTTTATCAGTACATCAGAAAGTATAAAGAAGGATAACCAGTTCAAATCCGAAAGTATTAGAGTAATTTCAAACTTATTTTTTGCTTCTTCCCGTCAGTAACAATCGATCAATACGCGCCATTCGACCGTCTCCCGCAGTCTACGCTGTGCAGGCAAACCAAGCACCGCAAAATCTCGAGTGGCGCTAACACGTACAGCACACATGGACTACCGCACACATCCTTCGTGTTTCCGAGCAGTGCAAAAGGTACAATTATTTGAAACATCCGTGTGCCATCCGTATGCGAGACTAGCAGGTGGCCGCCATTTACCTTAGAACTTGATATGTATTCCTCAATCCGAGAAATCGTGCAGCTCTTGGATATTCCGCTCATGGTGGGCTTGCGGTGTCGAAATTGGGGCGCGGATTTGCGAGTGAACAAATAGCTATGCCCGCAGTGCCGGCCATTTGCGCTCGCAAAATAAAATCTATATCAAGGGAATTTTATTGGACTATAATTATTACGCAGCTTGACTAATTCAGCTTTGCCATCATGTCAAGTAGTACAGGTTATTAGGGTGTCTCATAATGTTTTTTACTACAACTATAGTCTTTTTGTATCTTTCCTTTAACTGATGTGGCTTGAGTAATCATTCGACAATCTTTGCAAAGCAAGCTCTACACGATCTCAGCTCACAACTTCACGTGGATTCCGATTTCACCGACTCCATCAAGAGTCTGTCTGCTGAATTGTTAATCCAGTAAAGTGTGAGCTGAGATCTAATCGCAGTCAAAAATGAACTTTTCTTTCAAACACCGAATCTTCGCTCAAAAAATTTTAAAAATTCCCCACTTATCCCAGCATATGCTTGACAAATCGATACTCATTTCTACGTTTTCGTATTTTTTTCATGCAAGAAACAAAGAAAAAGAATGGAGTAAAAGGCAAACTCCGCCCCTAGACGTCCTGAACTCCTTCCACGCACCTGATCATATAGCTCATACGTACAAAACACAATGTAATTTAAACTTTGTAGGTGCCTTAGTTCTCGAGAAATGCTGATAATGTGAAAGCCACAAATGCATGTTTTTTGTGTGCTTTGTAATCCTCTTTTACAAACAAACTTAGGACGAAATTCCAATTACTTGGTGACTGTTAAACTGTCGTCTACCAGCATCAGCTGCAGCATGGGTGGAATGATGATATCCTTCGTAAGCGGCACAGACACCATGCTAATTGAAAATTTTTTGTGTTGTCTGGGAGCTGTGTGAAGATATCGTTACCAGAGGCTACTCCAACGAAAGAGGTACGTTTATCAATCAGCTATGTAGTCATATTATTGGAAAGTGGCAAAAAATATTCTTGGAATTGACCTAACATGTTAAGACAAAAAGTCCCTGCGAAAGTTTTTGAAGGCTACTGCATGACGAACGCAATAGCAGTACTAGTTGAGCGGGCGCAAACTCGGCGCGCGCGTATCCTCACCGTTGTAAATCCTGCGCCTCATGCGCTCTGCGGCTAATAAAGCCGCGATCGCGCCCAAAGGTATTGCGCCTTCGTCATGCAGTAGCTTTTACAGTCGATAGAATTTGAGCTCAATGTAGTGTACCAAGATGTTGCAGTAGAATTTGCGCGTGAACAGTAAGCTAAAGTCGACTGCACGAATTCGGCCGTATTGCTGTAAGCTGAACACCCGCAAGTGGCGCGCTGTTTGCAACTATGAGTCATCAAATCCCAGTGCTAAACGTAGCCCGCAGGCCACTCTGCGGCGCGCCAGATACGCTCTCGGGCATTAGCCTACAGCGATACGGGCGATTTTGCGCAGTCGACCATACACACACTAGTGACGCCAGCCGCTTGCGCGCGCAAGATGCCGCATTAGGTAGGTGCCAGAGTACGTGAATATTTCGTTCAGGTTCGTTCGCTGCAAAAGGCGCACAGTTTTAACAGCAGGTAGTGGTTTGGCGTCACGTCGGGCGGAAAGCGGCGTACGCCGCTATTCATTTTATGATTGTTCTTGCTTCTTCCTCTTGTTCTTGCCGCCGCTAGTCATCATTTTATCGATGTTCTTTCTTCTTTCTCCATGTTCTTGCGTCCGACGCTATCATTTTATCGATGTTCTTGCAAACCATTCATTTCCTTTTTTTTTCAGATTTCATCATACTCATTTTCGAGATTGTGATCACTAACTCGAACGTTGGCCAGGTAGCCGAGGACTTATGTGAACTGCATCTTCATTACTACGACTCTTTTTAGATTCGATTCCACGAAAGTTTTCTATCATACTCATTTTCGAGATTGTGATCACTAACTTCAGCGTTGGCCAGGTAGCCGAGGGCTTATGTGAACTGCATCTTCATTACTACGACTCTTTTTAGATCCGATTCCACGAAAGTTTTCTATCATACTCATTTTCGAGATTGTGATCACTAACTCGAACGTTGGCCAGGTAGCCGAGGACTTATGTGAACTGCATCTTCATTACTACGACTCTTTTTAGATCCGATTCCACGAAAGTTTCCTATCATACTCATCTTCGAGATTTGATCACTAACTTGAACGTTGGCCAGGTAGCCAAGGGCTTATGTGAACTGCATCTACATTATTGCGACTCTGTTTAGATCCGATTGGTGGGCCACGATTCTCTATCGTACTCATCTTCGAGATTGTGATCACTAACTCGAACGTTGGCCAGGTAGCCGAGGACTTATGTGAACTGCATCTTCATTACTACGACTCTTTTTAGATCCGATTCCACGAAAGTTTTCTATCATACTCATTTTCGAGATTGTGATCACTAACTCGAACGTTGGCCAGGTAGCCGAGGACTTATGTGAACTGCATCTTCATTACTACGACTCTTTTTAGATCCGATTCCACGAAAGTTTCCTATCATACTCATCTTCGAGATTTGATCACTAACTTGAACGTTGGCCAGGTAGCCAAGGGCTTATGTGAACTGCATCTACATTATTGCGACTCTGTTTAGATCCGATTGGTGGGCCACGATTCTCTATCGTACTCATCTTCGAGATTGTGATCACTAACTCGAACGTTGGCCAGGTAGCCGAGGACTTATGTGAACTGCATCTTCATTACTACGACTCTTTTTAGATCCGATTCCACGAAAGTTTCCTATCATACTCATCTTCGAGATTTGATCACTAACTTGAACGTTGGCCAGGTAGCCAAGGGCTTATGTGAACTGCATCTACATTATTGCGACTCTGTTTAGATCCGATTGGTGGGCCACGATTCTCTATCGTACTCATCTTCGAGATTGTGATCACTAATTTCAACGTTGGCCAGGTAGCCGAGGGCTTATGTGAACTGCATCTTCATTACTACGACTCTTTTTAGATCCGATTCCACGAAAGTTTTCTATCATACTCATTTTCGAGATTGTGATCACTAACTCGAACGTTGGCCAGGTAGCCGAGGACTTATGTGAACTGCATCTTCATTACTACGACTCTTTTTAGATCCGATTCCACGAAAGTTTCCTATCATACTCATCTTCGAGATTTGATCACTAACTTGAACGTTGGCCAGGTAGCCAAGGGCTTATGTGAACTGCATCTACATTATTGCGACTCTGTTTAGATCCGATTGGTGGGCCACGATTCTCTATCGTACTCATCTTCGAGATTGTGATCACTAATTTCAACGTTGGCCAGGTAGCCGAGGGCTTATGTGAACTACATCTACATTATTACGGTCTTTTTAGATCCGATTGGTGAGCCACGAAAGTCTGAGAGTAACACGATCTGAAAGGGCCCAGCTTTTTCGAAAAAAAGAAGTAAGTTTTCTTTCAACAAGTGACTGTTTCGCTTAAACGCATAGCACCTTTGAAAAGCATGCCTGACAGAGATCAAAAGCGTGACTTTGCTTTCATTTCCAAACTTTGCTTATTGTATGACTATTTCAGTTTCCATTATACTCATCTCCGAGACTTTGTGTTCTTTGACTTGAACCTTGCTCAGGTAGGCGAGGACTTATGTGAACTGCATCTACATTATTACGACTCTTTTTAGATTCGTTTGGTGGGCCAGAAAGTCTGGAAGTAACAATAGGTGCTTTTTCGAAAAAAGTAAGTTTTCTTCAAACACGTGTTGCTTCTGCCTGCTTAAACGCATACACCTTGGAAAGCATGCCTGAAAGAGCTGACCCAGAAGAGCGTGACTTTGTTTTGCCTTCATTTCCAAACTTTGCTGGATTTTATGACTATTCGAGAGGTGATAAACACCGTGCTGTTTGTGAAACTTCCCTAGATTAAGGCTGTGGGTCATGTAAGCCCAAGTGCGTATTTCACAGTTGTACCCTTTGCTTCAACCAGATCGGTGGCTGAAAGGCGGGACTCCGTGACCTAATTAAGAATATTAATGATCATAAAGCATGTTCGCGAGGAGGCGCAGACTGCATGGCTGACGCGAGCAGCCGCCTTTTAGGTCTGAAGTCCCGCCTTCCAGCAGTCGATCTGGCTGAAGCGGGTAGACGATAAATCTGCCGTTTTGTCGGCTTGTAATGGCAGTATAGCAGATTGCGACAGGTATAGACGAGCTCTCTTGGTTGTGAATGAAACGAGAGGAAGAAAGTTGGGCGGGGCTTAATATTATGATCTGCACTCTAAGCAATCAAGACCTCGCAAAGCTTTCTAGGAAAAACAGACCCTCAAGGGGTAAAGTATGTGAAACCTGCTGCTTCAGACAATGCAGGCAGTGCCTTTCGACCAAGAATATTTCATCCTCTGTGTGGAGGAGGAGCGCATTATCTGGGACTGCACATTGGACAGTTACGCCAGCAAAACCTCACGCTTACAAGCGTGGACGAGAATATTCGTTAGAATGGAGCGAAGAGGTTATAAGGGAACTAGTAAGTTCTCAGACAACTGCCGGGGGTAGGCCTCACCAAGAAGTGCGCAATGCTGAATCGCACTCGCTCGCAGATTTTCGGAACCTAAAAGTGAACATTTACGAAGCCATTTTGACTCTTTTCTGCCCTCTGAATCTTCGCACGGGATCGCTGTTTGTTTCTCGAAGTGAAAATTCAAAAACGGCCAAAATCTCGTGGTTAATCTTCCAAGATTCTGCGAGCGGATTGCAAAAATTCAATCGTCTAAATTTCTGGTCCGCGCCTACCCTTGGCGATTGTGTGAGTTGCAGGCTTAATCAGTTTTGGTCCAACCAGCCAATTCTGGTCGGGCCAGCCATACGTCCACCGTTGTCCGAGTTCCGACAGAAATCTCCTGTCAAATCGCCCTGCAGCTGTATGCGATTTTATACCAGGGACGGGTGTTATAAAAATGTTTTGCGCAGTTTAGGTCCCAAAACTAACGGATATGTGAAAAAAGGGAGTGCGGGCAGGAGGCTGTTGCATGCAGTCGGAGCCCGATTTAACTGGAGATTCATGTCGAAAAAGCGCATGTACATGTGGACAACTATGGACGCGATCCCTGAAGGCAGCGTCCAGGCGTTTGTCCCCAGTACCGTACTCAGAGGACAGCATGCAGGCTTGCAGATTGCGCTGACATGTCACAAGGGTGGCGGGCTTCCACGCGATAGTATGCAACCCCTCCTGCAAGTCGTCCACCAAATACGGTAGCGGGGGCTGGTTTGGGGACGAATACTCGGTCGTGAGGGCCATCTGCGCTGCTGCTTGGGCAGTGTTCTATTTAACCTAGAGACGGGTTCTACGTGCGAAGCGTATGTGTCCAGATTTGCCTGGATGCTGCCTTTAACGTAGCTCAAATGTCTCTGGATTGCTTCTATGTGTTTTTTTTTCAGTTGAAGACCTTAAAAAAATGTGGCGGTCGATCGTTTCAAAATATAGGCGCTTCAAACAAAGTCGGAGCGGGTCGGAAGCAGTACACAATCCGTTAATGGATAAACTTACTTTTCTTGATTCGACTCTTATCCCTCAGGAAAGGTGGGGTTCAAAATTGATATGAAAAATATTATGCATTCCCTTTTTCAGCACAAGATATTCAAACTTCGATAGTCTCAGTGACCGGAATTTGGATTCAACAATAACAGAAGCTGGGAGTGAGAATTCATTTTTTAACGCTTGCAACTGGCAGAAAGGCTACCTTTTTAGGTTCACAGGAACCAAGCATCCCCGTATTAGGCGATCGCACTAATAGCGTTAGCAGTAGTCTGAGCTTGAGGAGGAAAAGGAGATTAGAAGGGGAAGGTAGGTCACTAAAAATTAGTATTGTCCTTTACAATTCACTCTTCTATTTTGACTTTCCAGAGTCCAATGCAGTGATGGCAGCAGCGGAGGCCGTCAGAGATCGTCTGGACAGAATGCGTGGAGAAGATCGCTATACGTGGATAGGTTAGTTTTGCTTTCAGTGGATCAGCTACGCTAACAGAAGCTATTTTTAGGTTACTTCGTCGTCGATACACTACGTCGTCTAACGGATGCCGAAGCTGACCGCTTGATATACGGGATAATGGGACTTTGCCTTCGCATGGGGCCCAACTACGACGCTGAAAACAATTATGAGCGAAATTTGCAGAACTCAGGGGTTGGATAATCATTTCGTGTGGCCCCGCCCTGCCTCGTTTTTCGCTATTCATTCTGTTCGGGTTTTGATCATGCCGGTGAAACATCTTATTTGTCATCAAGCTTTTTTTGCGAATCTTCGAAGCTTCTTACTGGTGTCATTCGTACCTCTTTCTTTCAGAAGTACATGTTTGCATGTTGTTTGCAGTGTTTACACATTTACATAACTACTATTGACTGAAGTAAATTTTGTGGATGTTGCATATAGTCGGTTTCTTCAAAGCGTATAAAAGAATATACGAGCGATAGAAATGGTCGAATCCGACACTAGATGTGAACAACAAACTTGAAAAAATGTAAACAACAGTTTTATTTGCAAACTGATTTCTTCTAGGAAAAACTGAGGCACAAGGATAATAAGATAAGATGATCGGAAAACGAAAGCAAGAGCAAATGACCGCACTTGGTCAATGCAAATATCACACTACCTAGCTCATGGCAGCCATAGCGTAGCGCAACTGTATGAGGTCAACCCCGCCCCCTCCCACTGTCTCATCCTTACTCTCTCACAGCGTGTATCCTAGGGGCACGCCAGGGTGCCTTAGCCAGGCTAGCTGCTTGTCGACTCGATAAACTGTGTACTCAGAGAATTGTGATAGCGCTTGGCGCATGCACATAATAGCATTTGCTAGAAGTGAATGAGCTGAGCATCGGAATTTGCCTAGTGTATGAGTGTTCTGTACTCCATTAAATGATGCTTAATATGAGTGTTTTGTACTTTCGTGAGGGTAATTCCGTAGTCATATCCTTCGTTACAATTTTATGGATGTTCTTGGAGACCATTCATCGCAGTTTTTTTTTCAATTTCCATCATACTTACATGGACGAGGCTTTGTAAATCTCATTGACTTGAACTTGGTCAGATAGGCTAGGACTTACGCGAACTGCATGTACATTATTAAGGTTCTTTTGATCCGATCGGTGGGCCACGAAAGTCGGAAAGTAATAACCATTAATTGGATTCAGCTTTTTCGAAAAAATAGAAGTAAGTTTCCTTTTTACAAGTGACTGCTTCGCATAAACGCATAACCGCATAACGCCTTGGAAAGCATCACTTGACAGAGTCGACCCATAAGTCACTGGATCAAGAGCGTGGCTCTGTTTTGCTTTTTTTTCCAGACCTTGCTGTGTTTTCTGACTACTCGAAAAGTGACAAATACCGTGCTGTTTGTTAAAGCTTCTCTAGACAAAAGTCGTTGCTCATGTAAGCTCAAGTGCGTACACAACTGCAGTACGCTTTGCTTCACGGCTTTAAGGCGGGGCTTAGTGACCTAATTAAGGCTAGAAAACAATCAGAGAACATGTTAGAGAGGGAGGCGCAGACTGTGTGCCTAACACGAGCAGACGCCTTCTAGGTCATGAAGCCCGCCTAATCGAAGCCCATCCAGGATTTGGATGAAGCAAAGGGTAAACGATAAATAAGCTTTTGCCGGACTAGCTTGTAATGGCAGTATAGCAGATTGTGTCAGGTATAGACGAGTTCTCTTGGGTGAATGAAACGAGCGAAAGAACGTTGGGCGGAGCTTTATTTTATGATCCGCACTTTAAGCAATCTAGACTTGCGAAAGCTTCCTAGAAAAGACACACTCTCAAAAGGCAAAGTTTGTAGAACCTGCTGCTTTAGACAATGTTTTTCGACTAAGAGAACTTTATCCTCTGTGTGGAAGAAGAGGGCAACTTCTGGGATTGCACATTGGACGGAATGCCAGCAAAACTTTACGCTTCCAAGCATGAGCGTGAATATTCGTTAGAATAAAGCGAAGAGATTATAAGGGAAATTGTAAGTTCTCAGACAACTGCCGGATGTAGGACTTACCAAGAAGGGCGCATTGCTGCTTTTTATATTTCTATCTTGACTGCCCAGAATCGAGAGGCCATCATAAATCGTCTGGACAAAATTCATGCAGAAGGCCGCTATACATACATAGGTTAGTTTCGCTTTCAGTGGATGAGACGCTAACAGGAGCTATTTTTAGGTAATTTCATCACGCGTCGCTAGATCGTATGACGGATACCGAAGCAACCGCATGATATATCAGATAATGAGTTTCATCCTTCACAAAGGCTTCACCAACGACCCTGAACACAATTATGAGCGAATCCGCACACTTCTAATCTTGGATAATTTTCATTTCGGATTGCCTTGCCTCGTTATTCACTCTCCATTCTATTCGGCAGTCACTGCCGATGGAACATATTAATGTTATCAAGCTTTTTTTGCGAGTCTTCAAAAATTCTTACTGGTATCATTTGCACCTCTTTCTTTCAAAAGTATGTTTACATGTATACGTAACTAGTACTTCGTATGTATCCACTTAAACGACTGGAGTAAATTTTGTGGATGGTGCATGTCACTCTACTGCGGGCCCATCTCTGAGTGTGTAATAGAGAGTGATTCTCTCTCTAGCTGTTTTTGCTGCACTTGCCCCGGTTTCGGCGATCGTCCGCTCAACCGAGTGAAGGGCTTCTTCGCTTGAGCCTTGCTGGCCTCCATGCGTATCTTGCCTTCTTGGCAAGAGGTTATGCAGAATCTGTAAGTACCGTGAGTAGATGCAGGGATTGTGGGGAGCTTCACAACTAACCAGAAGTGCCTTAACTATACGAGCCGCCCTTGCAGGGTCAACTTGCATTGGATGCATGAGAATCTGAAATCTGCGCGCCAAGATTCCGAACGTTGACTCAATCATGCGCCGAGCTCTGAATGTTTTCAATGAGGAGTGGGTTAGAAATAGATTTGCACTACCTGCTGTGCCTGCTATTAAATCTCCTTTTTTCGGGCGTATCCGCTTCTGCATCTCGATATGGTCTCACAAAACGCAAATCCTGCCCGAATCCCCCGTCTACCAAGATATGGTATTGTACGGGCCCAACACGGTCGAGATCTTCGGTGGGGGGGAAGAGGTGGTCGTTGGCATCAAGAAACTCCTGATACATTTTGATCAAATAGTGGTTCAGATTTTATCATACTTCTAACCTTTATGGCCGAACTGCGATAAACTCCGGCATCGCCTGCTCGGCCCGCTGCTCCAACGTCGTAGAGGAGAATCCGGTAATCGCAGTCGCAGATTGCCAACAGAATTATTGAGTAATAATTCTTATAATTCCAGTAACTGCTCCCCGAATGAGCGGGCTTCTTGAAACCATAGTTTATTATTACTTGCAGTAATCTCGTTCGCTATTTAGTGACCTCAATTCGGACATGCTTGCCGTCCATGAAACCGACCGCTCTAGGGTAATCGTAGCGATCGTGCGTGGCGTTAGCTATTGCTTGCAATCGCTCTCGCGTCAAGGGGGGGAAGGCGATTTCGTGTAGCTCTACAAATTGGGAAATGGCAATACAAAAGAGTTGCCCAATATCGTGAGAATGGAAGAAGTTTAGTTTCTGGCTATGCTATCTACTGAATTCTAACATTCTGCCTTACCATCGATAATCACATCAGTGACCTCCGCTACTATAGCAGAAACCGTTTCCCTGCCACAGCCAGCAGCTAGCGCGAATGAGACGAAGGTTCCCCCAAATGCCACAAATCTGCAAGAAGCGAGCACTGTTAATTACTAATTCATGCTCTTCCTTCCGTACCTGAGGTAGATCATCAGCCTCTGACGGCCATTGATAGGGCCTGCGTGCGTGGAAGGGTGTTGGAGCCTTCCTCCTATGCTTTCATACAAGTCCTCAAACTCATTTGGAAGCAGTCTGACGAACTGCATGAATTGCTGAGGCCTTCGAGTCGCCAAGTACTCGTCGTAGAGGCGAAAGCGTGTGTCGAGAAACGGAAAGTGCTCTCGACGCACGTACTCGCGAGTACGCAAGCTTTCCTCCTCTGCCTCCGCAACGGCATCTTGGAGCTCGACGAGCGATTCGAGAAGGTCACGCCATTCCTGTTCGCTCATTGCTGCAAAATGCAACATTAACAGGTCATCATTATCCATAAGATAATAACAGGACGAGACAAGCACATGTTATGCGCAAGGGCGCTTACCCTGCCAGTGAGAGAATGAAGAACTAGTCGCTGCGGCGGGAAGATGTTAAATGCTCAGAATAACATACCGTTGCGCGTTGTAATCTCAGAATAACATACCGTTACGCGTTGTAATCTCAGAATAACATACCACACTACCAGACAAGACACTCATCTCACAAAACAAGGAGTAACGGAAAGTGCCGACTCTCCAACCGTACTACAGCTAAAGAAGAAGAACGATTGGAAACAAAGTAGGGTAGTTCTACTTACGGGAGCAGTACAAGTGGCCGATGGAAACAAAAGAGAAACAATCGTCTTATTGGACACAGGCTCGGAACTCTCATTCATTGGAGAACTGTGCGTTAACGCTTTTAAAGATGTTGGACAAGGAGGGTACACAGCACGAGCCACAGCTGCGCGCGACATCCTACTGGTAACTGAAAAACCATGAGCAATTCACATCTGATGCCAACATCTGCGAATTCCTCCAGTAGTAAAAAACGATGCAAATCATCGATGCTTTGCAACTGGCAAAGTATGACTAAACTACCAGGATGTGATGAGTTTCTATATGAGGGAGAAAAGAACAATACGAGCTGCGAAGTTCGTATAAGAGCGCTGGAACGCATTTTTGTGCCGGGACTTGGCAATGTGTTGCGCTATGAGCGTCTGGCGCTTTGTGATTGGTGATACTGTTCTCACTCTTTGCTAATACGACTTGCGGTGCATATGATTTAGTCTTCTCATTTTTCTTTCAATGAGCAGCGTGGAATAACGACTAATGAAGTAAATTAAGTGTAGTTGTCCAGAAGAAGGCTTTGCCTAGGAATGTGTTAGAGTATTCTTTCTTGTACTTTGGTAACTCTAAGTTCTAAGTATTGTCTTGAACAACTAAGAAGTTTTTTGGATGCTGCAAGTTTCAAGCTAAATGCACTGTAGAGTAGGTTATGAGTTTCTTGCACTTAGGGAAAATACGCAATATATCACGTATGATAGTACTTGTCATGCATCCCCCAGAACTATTCCCATATGCGCTATCAACGTGGCTGCCGTTCGACCGTTGCAACAAGTTATCCTAAATCCAAAGCTTTTTCGAAATTGACATGTTAATGATCGAAAGGCATCCATATTGATGGTTTATTTGAGAACAATTCCGGAGGATGCACCATACGAACCTGCTAGTAGCCCTGCAAAGAGAGGAGAGTTGCTTTGCGGAGCATTTGAAATGGGATGGTGATATGTAAAACAGTGTGGCTCTTCTATTCAGACTCATACAGAGAAGAATGTGTTCTTTTTATTATGAGCATCATTTCAAAATTCGCATTTCAACCTAACAATTACTGCCATAACAGATATGAAATACTACACCTTTAGTGAAATAAGAAGAAGTTCAAGCATAGTCTGAGCAGCTGACCAAATACAGTTGTGAACTTTAACTGAATAAGAACTGTGTCATACATGTATGCCTAGAACGAATGGTTCCAAATATGCTGTTGAGCTATGTGTTTTCACTAGTGGTGGCAGCGATAAAGGTGACGGACAATAAGATAAACACCAGACAAAGTAGTTTGCATTGTGATTGCAAGAATCCAGTGGTTGACTACAGACTGGAACGGCAAAACATCCGCGATTCCTTTTAGAGGACGCCGCTTTCCGCCCGACGTGACGCCAAATCGCCCTATCAAATAGTGTTACTTCAAGACTTTCGTGGCCCACCAATCGGATCTAAAAAGAGTCGTAATAATGTAGATGCAGTTCACATGAGTCCTCGCCTACCTGAGCAACGTTCAGATAGTGATCAGAATCTCGAAGATGAGTATGATAGAAATTCGTGGCCCACCAATCAAATCTTAAAAGAGTCGTAATAATGTAGATGCAGTTCACATGAGTCCTCGCCAACCTGAGCAACGTTCAAGTCAAAAAACACAAAGTCTCGGAGATGAGTATGATGGAAACTGAAAAAGTCATAAATAAGCAAAGTTTGGAAATGAAAAGTCACGCTCTTGATCTCTGTCAGGCATGCTTTCCAAAAATGCTATGCGTTTAAGCGAAACAGTCACTTGTTAAAAGAAAACTCACTTCTTTTTTTTTCGAAAAAGCTGGTCCCTTGTGTTACTTCCTGACTTTCGTGGCCCAAGCAATCGAATCCAAAAAGAAAGTAATATTGTAGATGCAGTTCACGTAAGTCCTGGCCTACATGGCCAACATTGAAGTCAGTGATTACAATCTCGAAGATGAATATGATAGAAAACTTTCGTGGAGTCGGATCTAAAAAGAGTCGTAATAATGTAGATGCAGTTCACATAAGTCCTAAGCTACCTGGCCAATGTTGAAGTTAGTGATTACAATCTCGAAGATGGGTACGATAGAGAACTTTCGTGGAGTCGGATCTAAAAAGAGTCGTAATAATGTAGATGCAGCTCACATAAGCCCTTGGCTACCTGGCCAACGTTCAAGTTAGTGATCACAATCTCGAAAATGAGTATGATAGAAAACTTTCGTGGAATCGAATCTAAAAAGAGTCGTAGTAATGAAGATGCAGTTCACATAAGTCCTCGGCTACCTGGCCAACGTTCGAGTTAGTGATCAAAATCTCGAAAATGAGTATGATAGAAAACTTTCGTGGAATCGAATCTAAAAAGAGTCGTAGTAATGAAGATGCAGTTCACATAAGTCCTCGGCTACCTGGCCAACGTTCGAGTTAGTGATCACAATCTCGAAAATGAGTATGATAGAAAACTTTCGTGGAATCGAATCTAAAAAGAGTCGTAGTAATGAAGATGCAGTTCACATAAGTCCTCGGCTACCTGGCCAACGCTGAAGTTAGTGATCACAATCTCGAAAATGAGTATGATGAAATCTGAAGAAAAAAGGAAATGAATGGTTTGCAAGAAGATCGATAAAATGATGACTAGCGGCGGCAAGAACAAGAGGAAGAAGCAAGAACAATCATAAAATGAATAGCGGCGTACGCCGCTTTCCGCCCGACGTGACGCCAAACCACTACCTGCTGTTAAAACTGTGCGCCTTTTGCAGCGAACGAACCTGAACGAAATATTCACGTACTCTGGCACCTACCTTACTGGTGTGGATAACCGTTAACGTATAGATTTTACCGCACTTTCGGCACGGCAAGCGCACATAACAGGCGGAAAATTTACTCAATCGCACTCCTCTTACTGATGCCGTCGGTAAGAGTATTACCGCGTCAACAAGTGAACGCCTCCTCCAATAGCAATAGGCAATGTACGCAAATGCTCTGATGAGTGGAGTGATTAAGCTCATGGAAAAATTTCTGGTTATCGTTGCAGTTTCTTTGCAACAAATAATGGATCTACGGATGGTGGCAGTAACTTTTACCACTTGATAAACAACAAAACCTTTCCTTTATGCCTTTGATTCTAGTAACATCTGAACTACCGAAAAAATGTTAGATTATGGCAGACAATATATTCTCAATTATACATAGTTAGTCTAGCAGTGAATACAATGTACCATGCAAATGCAAGTACAAAAGGGTTGAAGTTGATTTGGATTCTTCAAATCTAGTAGGTTAGTATGACGCTCAACCTGATGGCTCTCGTTCGTAATGTCACAGAAAAAGCTTTGCTATCTCTAGCGAGACATGGCGAAGACTGGATATTTAACTAACTTCCCTCATCGTTATCAGTCGTTTGCGAACCATCAGTTATGATGCTGTCTCGCTTAGATGAGCACTCAGTAGTGCTCCTTTTATATTGAGATCAATGCTGAACATTTTCAATTCACTCGAAGAGATACGTGCAAGATTTGCTGTTTTTCCTCCTTTGTTATGAGTGATGATAGAATTTTGCACCATATGCCGTCGAAAATTCTGAAAAGCTGTTGACACCTTCTGTACACAAGGCACAGTAACTAGAAATGCAACAAAATTTCGTCTATGGTCTGCGAATATTCTTTCAAATAAAAGAATTTTGATCCCATTACAGCCATAACCGTAGTGCGATATCAGTGCCGCAGAAAAAAAGGAGATCTTTTGAAGCATTTGGATCTGAACACCATCCGAATGAGAATAAGATAACACAATAGACTTCTAGATGCTCTCATACCCTGAACTTCAAACGCGTTCGGATTTATCTCGAAATTACTCTGATACACACGTGTAGGCCTTGTAAGACCTAAATGCCCGCGTCGTGCCTTGATACCACAGTAAGCGAGCGATTGTCGCGCGGCACTATAGGCGGTCTCATTCGCATGAATCTTCCGATTAACATCCATGTTGTTTTCAGCATAGCACAGTGTGCTCTAGAAAGGGTGTTTAAAAATTTATGAAAAAAAGTCTGAAAAAGGTGCGCTTATTATCTTGCGAATAGCATATATCGCCTGGGGATCTCACGTCTCCAGCCGCTCCGCGTGATGGCGTTCAGAGCGAACGCGGGCAATTGAATTTTACAAGGCCTATGTAGCCGAATTCATATGGTTGTGTGTGTGCACACACCGTCTATCTTTGGCGTCCCCATCCTGAATGCGATGGCAAAAGCGCAAGAGACTAATCGCTTATTATAGCTTACATCACTTTGAGGAGACTGGTACCCAAGGAGGGAAGAAAACGTGAAAAAACGATAACACTCACTTAGTCTAGGCTGTCTGGTTCAGGAATCCAGGGGCTGATAGAGAGTTTTCGTCCACCACAAGTGTTATGTCCCTACACTTTGAGCGTGCCAAGTCTTCAAAATGCTTTGAGTCCCCCGAGCTTTGAAACAAACAGACTTCTCGCATTTTAGGGACCGGTAGTTTTACCCTCCCCATCGTATGGAGTTATTTTATGGCTTTGTAGGGTTTTTGATCATGAGTTGAGGAAAATCGAAAAGTTGTAACACAAGCAATACCGATAAATACAGAAAATTACCGAAAAAGTTACTAATGATTTTTAAAAAACCTAATTAGTGTTGATATGCGTACGGAACTCATGCTCCAGCAATAGTCGCTTTCGAAGGTCATACAGCTTCGACGATTTTGGACATTCTCAGGTTTAGTGTTGCCGAGCACTAACAAGCTGTGGTCTTACTAGTACTGTCTGTCAACTCTCACAAAAAAATCTTTATGCAACCAAGATGTACAAATATAAGATGCACTTTTGAGCACTTAGATTGAGCAAATTCTTCTTCAGGCATTGTAGATTATTAGCTATGAGGTAGCTGACGACAATGTTGAAGCGTTCAAATTCTGTCGTGTGTCGACTCGCACCCAACTCCATTTTTCCTGTACCGTGGTTCTTCAGGTTGTAGCTTTCTTCCACCGCATGTCAACAGCAAACACAGCGAAAGAATGAGACAAAGCATGCAAATGCAGCCTTGACGAGCACCACACCAAAAATCACTCTGAAAGATATTGTTTGAATTAAGTGGATTAGGCTGTAGGTTTTTAATGAATGTAAAAGTAGCGCTTACATTGTCCACATCCGTAGGTACCAATGGCACTTATCTCGCCCTGTTCTGTCACATCGATAGTATAGAAAGATTGTATTTTCAGGGCATCTGCAAATACTTTATGAGGCATGTACACAATTTATTTGCTGTAAAATTGGAGGGCATTGATAGGAGTGACACGAGAATTTTACAAAAATATCATTGGTTTCACATTATAAAATTTTATGCATTCTCCACATATGATTAAAAGGCACTGTGTTGCTCCTTATAATTGACAGATGTCGCTTTGATACGAAGATGCTTTTAAGCAAAATGCCAATGCAAGATAAACCTGGCAGTACTGGTTACAACTTGATCTTTACTACTGAACGGCCTCTTACAAGTCAATACGAGTATTTTCTGAGGAAAAAATAATAGGGTTAAGCCGAAAAATTATTGTAACATGTAGTTATTATTATTGTTAAAATTACTGTAAATTATTGCTATTATTAAATTATTATTATTATTAAAATTATTGTAACATTAACCATAGCAACCTGGTTGGCAGAACAGCACTACACATATTCGATACGACATGCGTAGGTTACAAGATGAGAGTATGTACGTGGAAAATTATTGTAACAATTATTGCAACGCATTAATGGAGAAGTGGTGAAGACTAAGATTACTGGGCAAAAAGTACCCCTGCAAGTGTTACCACCAACATAGCTGGATTGGAGCTCAAAATGGTGACATAACTGCTGATTTTGTACTACTGCATCCATTTCTTCCCAAAAATGCTACCTATTTGGAGTTTCGAGGGTAAATAAGGGATACTTGTGTTTGATAAACTAGGTCGGATCTAGGTATACAATTCAGCCAAATCAATTATTTCAGCAAAAGCACCTTCCTTCTAACAAGAAAAGGATTAGTCGAAAGCCTTTTGAGATGGACTTATACCATTATGAAGCATGAAACGTTGAATTGAAATATATTCTTTATCTG